TTTAGCTGCCATCCCAATGGTTTTAAATGAAAAGATGGGTACCAAGAAGCTAACTTCACTTGGGAGAGGTCCTAATTCATTTCAAAACAGCATAAACTGTATTAACAACTATGTTAACAATGAATTTTGTGCCTTACAGAAGAAATTAGGGTTATTCTTGGAGTTTCTCTGTCTTCAAATTATATAAAAGTCAACTCCCCAAACCTGGGCCTATGGATTCCTAATCTATTAAACTCCCATTGACCAAATTACTTACTATTTTAATACTGTACTTCAATTTTCACTCCTGCAGAATGAAAGGAATTGTCTCTGATTATCTCTGCCTCACAAGGGTAAGCAGTCAAATGACAAAAGAAAATTTTTTGGAAGAAAAAGTTCTACTGCTACGAGAAGTGGCACAATGTTGTGGGAATTCACCAGGAGGGACAATGGTGATGAAGCCTAACAACAAAGCAGAACCTGAAGAAAAACGAAATAGGAGGCAATATGATATGGAACATTTAGACAAACAGCCTTCGATCAACTACTTTTTTCTGGGTAACACACAACAAAGAAAGAAGCTGAGTTGGGGATATGTTGATATCATCTACCATTACATTCTCCAAGCACTGCTGTAATTACCTAAATCCTTAGTTTCTCTAACTTTTTTCCTCCACTAACAATGGATGTAGCATTAAGGCTTAGAAGTGGGAATGAAGCAGAAAAGGAAGGGCTAGAGAAGGCTATTCAGTTCAGATTGGGTCATTTCGCCCAGCCCTACTCACCATGAGTTCAATTCAGTAAGAACTTATTAAGCACCTACTGAAGTCAAGCATTGTGCTGGGCACAGGGGATACAAAGACCAAAAACAAACCCCCAAACTCATCCTTGCCCTCAAGGAGCTTCCAGGATACTTGGGGAAATAAACCCATATGCACAGATAAATAAATAATGTATCTCTACACACATCTACATACTATATGTGCATGTTATATGTACATATCTCTATATTACACAAGATACTACAGCACAGTATACAGTATAACATTATACATATAATTAAAATGCAAAGTAATTCTGGGGGTGGGGGAAGCACTAACAGCTGGTCGAACAAGGAGAGATCTATTATAGGAGGGAGCACTTGAGTTGAGCCTGGGAGGAAACAGGCAGGACATGTGGAGGTAAAAGATGGGGCATGGTCTGGAACTGCCAGTTGGTTTTGGAAACTGGAAGGAGGCAAGTAATACACTCAAATTCCCAGCCCGACATCCCACAGGCCACGTACTCACTAGTGTTCTAGTTTCCCCCAAAATCAGAGCTGGGGCTACTTTAGTTAAGGGGTGAGTGACCCATTCCCCAAAGCCTATGGGGCATTCAGGTGATGCAATGGGCAGCTGACATCTATTCTATTGTAGAATGCCTCAGCTGTCCTTTCAAGGAAATCTATTGTTCATTCTGTCCTTCTTTCCTGTGTCCTTTTATCTGGTTACCACAAAATGGGCTAGAGTGGAAGCAAGATGTTAAAATGATGCATTATTTATTTAGGCGATTTGAGATTCACAGGAGAACCAGAACCACTGAGCTATAAAACACTACAGGCATCCTCTTACACAAAAGTCTGGATTAGTTTTTTCCAAAACCAGGTTCCACATGAAATGAATAAGGAGTTTTAAAAAAATCCTAATGTGATATTCTTATCCCTAAAAAATTAAATTAAAAAATCTGTACCAAAAAAACTATTTACAATAATTTTTAACTATGACAATGAGCTCAAAAGAGAGGAAATACTTCTGCTTCAAAATGTCCCCAACTGCTTCTTATCCGAAAGTAAATTCCATGTCCCCTTCCCCCAAAATGGGCAGGTCACCACTCATGGGTTCTGTCAGTAAATTCCAAGTCCAGAATTGTTCTGTGGCTAAATAGGTCAAGGAAAAACTAGGCTAGACATCAGAAGTCCATACTTCAAAATCAGATTTCTGAGAATATTGGTGTGAATAATCAACTGCCTCCATTCCACACACATCATTCTCATTATAGCTAGGCCCACTAGAAATACGATCGAGCAAGAGAAAATCTACAAAACACTCTGGAAATAGGTTGCATTTTGGAGAGAAATCAGCTGCTGATACAGAGTAAAGAGCACTTGTCCTAGAATCAGAACACTCAAGTTCAAGTCCTAGCTTGGATATCTACTAGTTGTGCAATCTTGGACTAGCCTCTTCAACTTTCTGAGTCTCAGATTTATCACTAATAAAATGGTGGTAAGAATACTCACAGTATAAACTCAGAGCTGCTATTAAGAAAATGCTTTGTAAACCTTAAAACATTATACGTGTGTGAACTATTATTACTGAATATCGCACTGCTGCATTACTCTAAAAAATATGTATATTGTTGTGTCTCTGTATGTATGTATACACGAGTCTCTGCTCTGCATGTGTGTGTGTGTGTGTGTGTGTGCATGTGCACATGTGCTTGTGCTTGTGCGTACATATACAAACAGAGTAGAGCTAGGTGGTGCAATGGATCAAGTGCTGGGTCTGGAGTCAGGAAGACTTAAGTTCAAATCCAACTTCAAACATTTACTAGCTGTGTGGCCTTGGGCAAGTCACTTAACCTCTGTGTGCCTCAATTTCTTCAACTGTAAAGTAGGGATAATAATAGCACCTACCACCCAGGGTTACTGTTAGTATCAAATGAGGTAATATTTGTAAAGCAGTTAGCACAGTGCCTGGCACACAGAAGGTGCTTTAAAAATGCTAAGTATTACTGTTATTACTAGGTCAGCATCAGTTACCTTTGTTCTTTTCTGAATTTATACCTTCAAAGAATATTTGAAGCTTTAATTATATTCTGAGTCTTCCAGGGAAAGCAATTACTTTGAAATAGTCAAAAAAAATGGCAATAATTATGAAAAAAAAAGATAAAAATTCATCCAATCCTTTTATATAATATCTACTCTGCCCAAAGAAATATAGTAAGGGTCTGAAATTATTGTAGGAGGAAATAAAGGAATCGTTTATGGTACATTACTCTATATCACCAGTCTAGGAGAAATGTCACAACATTTAATCATTGATTAGGTGGAAGCACATTGTTCTACCTTGCTATGGTGTATCCTCTGTTATCAAAGGTTAAGAGCGATGGATAATCGCATGAATAAATACACATTTATAGATTCAAAGAATTTTCAAATTTCTAACAGGTAGCTACAGGTGAATAACCAATAAGGTACAAGAGTTTTCTGTCTTTCCTTTTCCCTTTCCATGTCTAGAGGCAGCTTAGTGTAGACCCAAATTAACTGCAACGTGAATCAGAAAAGCCAGTTTTGCCACTAACTTGTTTGAGTAAAAAAACTCCTTTCTAAGCCTCCACTTTCTGACCCTTAAAAAATTGGTTGGCTAGATAATTTCTAAGATCCCTTCCAACTGTAATGCATTATGGTGTATTATTTATTATAATGTATAATATAATATATATTTATTATAATGCTAGGCACTGTTAAAACAAAGACAAAAATGGGAAAGTCCCTTTCTTCTAGGAGCTTCCATTGGATAAGGACTCAGGTAAGTAAATAAGTAATTCAGAAGAAAGAGCACTAACAATTGGGAGGACTAAGGCAGCCTTCACAGAAAGCTGCATCTGAGGCGAGCCTTTCGAAGAATAAAAGGATGTGCATGGTCCAGCACACAGTTCAGGAAACATACCTGACCACCAATACTATGCATTATGCTTGATTATACACCCTTCTGTCATGACTTGGAAGGCAAGTGGAAGGTAAAATTTTGTATTCTCCAACTGGAATGGGCCTGTATAGGTTACAGAACTATGCATCCATAATAAGTACTCTCAATCATGATGATATCATTTCTTGGCCTTCAGAAATCAGTGGAGTAATTCTTAAAGAATAATATATACCTACTGGCAAAGCACTGGAATGAGTCCCTCTGGGTACTATAAGAAGCTGTTTATAAAGAGAAACAAAGACTTCACATTTCGTAGCCAGAAGACACCATTAATATTTTAAATTAAAAAAATTTTTGTGTGTTTCTTAATGAATCCAGTAATAAAAGTCTAACTTCGGTGATCCCAGCAGTCTGACCCACTGATCCTCATATCTCCATCTCGGGAGCAAAATTTAGGAAGATATCTGTGGACTCCAGTAGAAAGGAGAGACATGCAGAGTAGGATTAAGGCATGCTTCTGCTTCAGTCAAAATAAAACAAAACTTACAGACTGGATGTAAAGAGGAGGAGGAATCAGCCCCAAAACCACCAGAGGTGAAATTGGGACCAGAGAGATAAATAACTCAAGCAAAAGGGAAGGGGAGCAAAGGTTCTAGATAAACCACAATTAGATAATTAGCACCCATCAAGAGATCAAAAGTGCCCAAGGCTCTTCAATATGTCAATCAAATCATTTATTAATTTTCCACAAGTAACAAATAATAAAAAATAAGCACTGCAAGTCACAGATGTTTATTTTAAGCAAGAGAAAGAAAATGTAATGTTTTTGTTTCTCAAACTTTTGGTGTTCTGAATACTTCAAGTACAACTTAGCCTTAAAAAAACAAATTATACAAATGTGGGCTATTATTAAACAATATCATATAAATCACATTCATCACTTATATTTATTATTTATCATCATATCAAACAAAAATATAAAGCCCTGCTCTACATGATAGATATAGAGCTGGAAGGGACTTCATAAACCATCTAATCCAACCCTCTCATTTTACAGATGAGGAAACTGAGGCACACGCAGGTTATGTGGCTTTCCCAAGGTCATGTACATGAAATAAGATGTGAATCTTAAGCCCTCTGACTCCAGAAGCAGGGCTCTTTCCCTCAGCACCCTGCATCAGAAGTGATACCCACTTACAAGTCACTACAGCTCTCTATATAAATTTGGTGCACCTGTCCACACCCATTTACGTAGCTTGTATTTCTTTGTTCAGCAACGGTGTGTGTCAAGAGTGGGGGGGTGGGGGATGGGTTATTGGGCTTTCACCATCTTACCTGCATGGAGCCAAATCTGGGCCAGCGTCATCCAAGGGTGTAAGGGCCCTTGCTTAGGGGCACTACTCTGCAAAGACGAAGCTACTTCTGAAAGGGCCTGTTCCACTCTGGAGGCTGCTATGGAGGTGGCATGAATCGAACCTGTGAAAGTAGGTTAAAAAAAAAATCACGGGAGCAAACAAAGTCCAACAAGCCCACACCTCCCTGCCATCATATACACGGGTGTAATCTCTTCTAAGAAAAATTTTTCAGCAACTGTCAAACTTCGTTTTGAAGTTTGGCCTCTATCCTTCTGGTCTGGATAGAAATATACAGGTTGAAGCAACCACCCCAAGAAACTTGACTTGTACGGACTCATCACAGAATTATTGGATTTAAGATAACTCCCCCTCATTTTACAGATAAAGAATCTGAGGTCCAAAGATGGGAAGGACCTTACTCAAGGACATCCAGATAGCAAAGTAGTTGAGTTAGTATTTGAGCCCAGATTTCCTGAATATAAATCCAGCGCTCCTTCCACTGGCTGAAGTAGACTTGCTCACCATTTCTGAAATCAAAGCTAGGACAGAGCATTAGTGCACCCTGCACAAGGCCTAAAAACTGTGGGTGGCTATTCTGTTACTCTTTCCAAGAGGCTTTAAGCCTTTCCCAGAATACATACAACTTATCACAAAATAAATATCCATAGTCATGGAGAATAGAATTCTCTGGCATTAATAATAGTTGGCAATTATTGAATATCTGTAATATTCTGAAGTGTCCACAATGCCAGTATGGAGTACCTGAGGTAGCTATTCCTGTAAGAAATCACTAATAACTTCTAATTTCCAAGAACTAATAGGTCCACATTCACTTGGCCAGCCTGCATCCAAGAGGTTGGGCAAGGCCTCTCTTCTAGGCCCTGCATTATATGGCTTGGCTTAAATGCTATGAACAGCAATACTTTTTGCACTGTGTGCAGTCAAATGACTATTATTAAGGCTAATAATAGATGGGGGTGGGGGCAGCGGGAAGAGTTAGAACAAAAATATAAGGGCTCAGAGAGTGATCCAACTCAGAAAATACAATTAAGTTGCACTGCCCATGATAGTGGCTAATGAAAAGCTGTGAAATGAAAATGTTTTCTAGTCAAACGAATAATCACATAGAAAACAAAGTGGCCAATTTGTCTCAAGTTAAACTAGTAAGGATCAGGAGGAACAAGAATTTCTCTTTACTTCTGGATAAGTACGATTTCCCTTTATCCATTTACTGAGACGCAACCGGAAAACGACCACAATGTTGGTTTGCTACCAATTTATTATTTATCAGGTGATAAATTCTTTCGGCTACAGCAACTCATGAAAGGTATCTACTTGAAATAGAGAGGCTGTCACATGCACTGGTAATGGGAATACTTAAACTCCTGAAATCACAGACCCATTAAGTATTGAAATATAATTGGAAAATGACACCAAACACAGGACTGTGCTAATACTAGGAACTGAATAAATGCTTTGTGAACTGAACACACCTTTGTCTCTGTTACCTGACTATGAAAATAATAGTTTCAGAATTCAGAGAATAATTTTCAACTCAGCCAAGTTTTAAAATATTATCAATATTAAATAATTAAGTTTTAACATCTCAGGCCTAATTTAGTCAGAAATACTAGGCTCAGATACTAGTTGTTTGATCCCAAGCAAATCATATGATCTTTCTGCATTCATTTCCTCATTTGTAAAATGAAAAGGCTAGAATTGATGGCTTCTAAATTCCCTTCTACCTCTTAACTTCTGGTTCTATGACTTTTTGAGGGGCAATATGGCAGAGTGAATGGGGTGCTGGACATTAGACAGACCTGGATTCAATTCCTGCCTGTGTGGCCGTGGGCAAATCACTTAAACTCTATGAACCTTAGTTTCCCCATGTATAAAATGAGAATAATAAAACCTATAATACCTTTCTCCTATGGTTGTTGTAAAGATCAAATTAGATACCATAGACAAAGCACTTTGCAAACTTTAAATTCCAATTTAAATGTCAGCGTTCATCAGTTTTCAAGGTTGAAGATATGTGGATGTGTGGATGTATGTATGTATGTATGTATGTGTGTGTGTGTGTGTGTGTGTGTGTCTAAGAAGAGATGACTATTTCATTATTACTAAGAAAGCCAGATTCTCTCCCAAGGTACAAGCTACCCCATTAAAATTCAATACTTTGGAATTTTTCAAGTCATATCATATGTATTATTCGATATACCTTAGTATTGCTCTAAAATATAGGTATTGATAGGCATGGTGGTTCAAGCCTGTACTTTCTGCTACTAGGGAAGCAGAGGCTAGTGGACCCCTCAAGCTCAGGGAGTTCTGAGCTGCAGAAGGGCTAAAATTGATCTGGTATCTACACTGAACCTGGCACCAATACAGTGAGTCTCCTAGAGTGGAAGGCTATCAGTCTGTCAAAGGAGAACAGTCACAGGTCAGAAAATGAACAGGTCAAAGTTTTTGTGTCAATTAACAATAGAACAGGGCCTGTGAGTGGCTAATGCACTTCCAGAAGGACAAGAAAGGAGAGGGAGAGGAGCACAGGGACAGGGAAGAATATTAAAATATATATATATATATATATGTGTGTGTGTGTGTGTGTATATATATATATATATATATATATATATATATATATAATCTGCCAGAGATTCAATACGCTCTTCAGCAAGAGAACAATAAGATGAGAAAAATTATTTGAATCAGAAAAAGTTCTGCTAAATTTAAAAATATGTAGTCTTAGAGAGCAATACAAAAATAAAAAACCAGATCATATATTTTGACCCTGACATTGCTAAAATTTAATTCTAAATATATTGCAAAAAGGAATAAAGGGACTCTTCTATACAAAAATATACTTTGCTGTCTTATGTGGAACAGAAAACAATTGGAAACAATCTATACATTCAATGTATGGAAAATGGCTAAATAAATTATAGTATATTCATGTAATGGGATAGTAAGGTGATATAAAAACAATAATTATAAAGGCTATAAAAATATGGCAAAAGTTATCTGAAATTATGCAAAGTGAGGTAGTTATCTAAAATTATATGTGAGATCAGCAGAACTAGAATTGTATAGATATTGACTACAACTATTTCTCTGTGGATATATATATGTGTATGTGTATGTGTATGCATATAGATACATATACACACACACACACACACACACACACACAAAGAAAACCAAAGGTATCTGGCTCTTCAGATAGATACACAAAGAGATGAGGAGTACATTTCAGTTGGTTTCTGATTATTAATCTTTTCGGTTCTACTCTGCTAAAATAGTACGGGTTTATTAAAATTTTGTAGCTTATTTTATAAAACTATTTGATTATGTGTTTTTTCATACTAGTTACTAGTTTATGATAAAAAAGTTTTAAATGCATGTTTTTCCCAAGAGTCCATGAATCCTTAATTTTGTAATCCTATGGTCTGTCCTAGTTATGTGAGTTTTCCAAGGATTTTAAGCACTAAACTATCAAATATACATAAATTTGGGGGCTGGCGATAATTACTTTCATTACCAAGCTTGCTTGCTTTCCAATACATAGGTAGACAACCATGAAGCAACAAGCACTGAACATTCACTTAAGGAAAGACTGGAGCCATCTGCCAATTAGAGCTCACTCGTTCTATTCTATCTCATTCTTTCTTTTGGTGTACAAGGCCTAGAAAAGTCCTTCAGAAAAATCGTGAAGCTTCCAAACATTTTCTATCAATTTTTACTGTTTACTTGTTGAGAAAACTATGTTTATTACTGGGGGTTGTTCAGGTCCCCCTTTTTTTTTAAACCCATGATGAACTGGCAAAGATATCCACTAATTATGCCCACAAAAATATGTTGTCTATGTGTCAGTTATAAGTCAACTATACTCAGTCCATCGTGGCATAAATAAAATCCAAATTCCAGATCTGGCTAATGTAAAAATGAACAGAGAGAGAGAGAGAGAGAGAGAGAGAGAGAGAGAGAGAGAGAGAGA